TTTCTATCAGCTGTTCTTACTGTTTCTATCAGCTGTTCTTACTGTTTTAATCAGCTGTTCTTATTGTTTTTATCAGCTGTTCTTACTGTTTTTATCAGCTGTTAATGTTTTTATCAGCTGTTCTTACTGTTTTTATCTGTTGTTCTTACGGTTTTTATCAGCTGTTCTTACTGTTTTAATCAGCTGTTCTTACCGTTTTATCAGCTGTTCTTAACGTTTTTATCAGCTCTTATTGTTTTTTATCAGCTGTTCTTACTGTTTTATCAGCTGTTCTTACTGTTTTTTAATCAAACTGTTCTTACTGTTTATCAGCTGTTCTTACTGTTTCTATCAGCTGTTCTTACTGTTTCTATCAGCTGTTCTTACTGTTTTAATCAGCTGTTCTTACTGTTTTTATCAGCTGTTCTTACTGTTTTTATCAGCTGTTAATGTTTTTATCAGCTGTTCTTACTGTTTTTATCCGTTGTTCTTACGGTTTTTATCAGCTGTTCTTACTGTTTTAATCAGCTGTTCTTACCGTTTTATCAGCTGTTCTTAACGTTTTTATCAGCTCTTATTGTTTTTTATCAGCTGTTCTTACTGTTTTTTTAATCAAACTGTTCTTACTGTTTATCAGCTGTTCTTACTGTTTTATCCTTTGTTCTTACTGTTTTTATCCATTGTTCTTACTGTTTTAATCAGCTGTTCTTACTGTGTTTTATAAGCTGTTCTTACTGTGTTTTATCAGCTGTTCTTACTGTTTTTATCAGCTGTTCTTACTGTTTTTATCAGCTGTTCTTACTGTGTTTTATAAGCTGTTCTTATTGTTTTTATCAGCTGTTCTTACTGTTTATCAGCTGTTCTTACTGTTTATCAGCTGTTCTTACTGTGTTTTATAAGCTGTTCTTACCGTTTTTGTCAGCTGTTTTTACTGTTTTTTTAATCAAACTGTTCTTACTGTTTATCAGCTGTTCTTACTGTTTTATCCTTTGTTCTTACTGTTTTTATCCATTGTTCTTACTGTTTTAATCAGCTGTTCTTACTGTTTTTATCAAGTTGTTTTAATGTTTTTATCAGCTGTTCTTACTGTGTTTTATAAGCTGTTCTTACTGTGTTTTATCAGCTGTTCTTACTGTGTTTTATAAGCTGTTCTTACTGTGTTTTATAAGCTGTTCTTACTGTTTTTATCAGCTGTTCTTACTGTTTATCAGCTGTTCTTACTGTTTATCA